AGAGTGTGGGATTGACTGTCGCATCAGTATTGTCTGCATAAACATTAACTGTTCTTTTAGTTTGAAAATGAATTCATTGCTACTGATCAAAGCCACGCATGGGGTACCTGCCCCTATTTCAGTGTAATGAAGAGTGAGCCTACGGCCCTGCAGCTCCAAGCAGAATAAATGCAGCAGTGACTGATTTTCTACTTATACAGTACTGTCATAAGCATGGCTACAGCTAACTGCAGGTGGACAGAAATGAGTGACAGGCTTAGAAATTGATATGCACAAGTAAAGAGCGTAACTTCTGATCTGGAATCTGAGTTCTGAAGTAATGGGCATCTCAGGATGGAAATCAGAGGTGAGGGGAATGGGGACTGCCATTAAATGGCTTCACTGGTGCTCCACATGCCCACTTTGAGTTAATCAGCAATTTCTCACAGAGACATCTAATCTATGAGTATAAATTACTCTGCAGTCTTATTATTCCTTAATTGAAGAGCACCAATGTGGAATTGCAAGAGATGAAGCCACAATGATTCTGTCCTCAATTAATGAGGGAATCGCAGTTCTCTGAACATTCCGGGGTTGGATTGCTCAATACTTAAAGAGAAATAACATGCAAGCCTGACACACAGAAACCTCCTACTCTTTCTCTGTTTTTTTCACCACATAAGGCCTTTGTATATGTATATACAGTAAAGTATATAGCTGCATGTTTTCTACAGAGAATTCAAAGTACATACAGAAGAATGAAAACCCATTCATGCTCATGGGAAGGGCTTTACTGAGGAGATTTAACAGTGAGTGAGATAAAGGATGGTTGTGCCAAAGGAAAGGGAAGCTCTCTTTAGTTCCTAGGCCCAGATGCAAAAATGTAACCTTTAAATATGCAACTTGCTTTCATTCTGCTGTTCAAAACCTAATTTATTCCTCACAGCACAGCTGCCAATGAAAGTCAATCATAGCAAAGGTTTTTAAAACCTCAGGGTTAGGAAATTCACATTTTTCAGAAACACAGCAGATAAACATTATTAGTGTGCTTTTTTAATTTAGAAATGTATAAACTAACAGCACCTGGTCTGTTGTGTGTAATATTGATTATTAAAATACAATCTAAAAAAATCAAAGACCGAGCCTGACATTTAGGAGAAACGGGTGTTTGTGAAGAGAGTTTTTCACATCTGCAATGCATTTATTGGTGTTTTGTTGTGTTTATATTGACTCTACAGACTGGTAAATGAATGATAAAAGAATAAACAGCTATTATCTGCTGTGTGGAGTTAATTATAAAAGCGCCTTCACTGTCAGTCTTCAATTAGTCATTTTACAAATTCAGTGCCTAGAAGTCACTCAGGATTGAGCCCTTTTTTGTCATTTTGTTTGATGTCTTAAAATAACCGTGATAACAGTACAGGGAATTTGTGCTTCAGCACCATGTGATATGTACAGTAAGTAAAGGACTCATGACCTATTATAAAAACAAAATATGAGCCCAATAAGGGTGATATAAGGAGCCATGTGTTGTTTGGCTACAGGACATCAAGTCAATAAAAGATGACAAGTTTTGCAATATGTCCCTTTTTGGTTTATTATCATTTACTGTATTAGTTATTGTGATTACTTTTTGTCTTTATATTTAACAATAATCTTGTATTTGAAAACAAGCCAAGGAAAGGAAGTGTATGGGTTGTGGTCAGTGCTGTTCCCAGGCCCTAATGTGACAGTTCTCAGACTGTATGTGGGGGTGCCCCAGTGACATCACTATTTCAGACTTTGACACAGTGGGGTTGACACTAGTGCTCAGGGGTACAGGCATACACTAAAATAAATCCATTCTCAAGTCTCTGGAATAAACAATTTCTAACTTACATTTTTGATAAGTTTGCTTGTATTGCTTTGTTGTTGCTCCTTGTGGAAAGAAAGTGAGAAAAGACAGTTTAAAGCATGTCTCTTTCTCCCATTTTTTCAGATAATGCTGTGTTGCACAGTTTCTTTTGGCTTCTTGTTTCCTGCAGAAACGTACATGTTTCCTTAGCATTTTTATTTCTTTCTGGCCACTGTCATTTTGCAAATGCAATGCCTGTGATCTAGATATATTATTTCCCCCTCTTGAATACATTAATTTCTTGCAGATTTACAATAATCTTACCTACTTTAGACTTGGGGATGTCATGCTGTGCAGGCATCGCCTGAAGGCCACACTGCTGTAAGTGCACAGCTCTTCACCCTGAGAATACCCTGCCTCGGTTTCAGCCTTATACTTGGATTAAGAGATATCATGAGGCTCATATGCCGTTACTCAAGCAACAATATGTTTTAAAAAAGACTAAACTATGTCAAGCCTAATTAATGCACCTTCTGTATATAAATACAATAGACTGTCCACAGAAAGGGAGACAACGTGATTCCTGAACAGAATATCCAATGCAGAATAAGTGCATTGAGATGCACTAGATGGTTGGAAATCTAAGAAAAACCTGAGGTTTGTTTGCGCTTTGTTCATGAAGTGAGAAAATCTCCAGGCTGCTGAGATGTTCAGGGCAGCTCTTGCAGTGAAATGTGCTGTGGCTGTGTGTCCCTAAAGTGCAGGAGCTGAGTGTGAAAGAACAGGCACAGCACAGTGATGCAGTCATTTAGGGTAAAGGGTGATACGCAGAGTCTAAAGCAAATGCAAGTATTAAAGTCATCAGAGTGCTAAGTATGTGTGAATATCTTACTAGTTCTCATAGGACTTTCTGTTTAAAATACAAAGTTTTATTTTGATTAAAATTAAGATCAGTTGACTATACCCCATGTGATAAAACCTAACAATACATTTCGATCATGTCTCCAGATTAGATGTGGTTAAGTACCAATCCTACTTATGCAACATATTTTTAGTTGAGTTTTATGCTGCATATGATTTCCCTGAACCAAAAGCTTTCCACATTTATAAAGTTCTTTTCACAGCTGCTATAAAGGCAGCTTATTTTCATTAAACTCTAGAAACAAGAAACTTCAGAAAAGAAAAAAAAAACATATTAGTCTATTCATACATGAATGCCTTTTATTTTTTTCCATAAAAATATTTTATATGCTGTGGATTTGGAGCTGTCTGTGCTTAAATTGGATTTCCTGAATTATATTATGCGTAGCGTAACAAAAATTGACTTTATGCAGTAATAACTCCTGTTTTATTGCAGAAAATTATGAAAAGCAGAGGCTTGTTGGTTCTGCATCGTCACATGGGCAGCCTTCGATCTTTGGCATTCTGAGATGTCACGTGATTCTGGGCCCTGGGTGAAAGGGCAGGGTAACCCACTCTTACCCTGGGGCTGGAGACCCTAGTCACGGCAGAGCAGGAAGTAAAACATGCTTGGCACTTGTGAGCAGCTAACCTACCTGTTAAGAGGCCCGTTAATAACTGGGCAGAAACGCTCCAGGAACACAGCACCAGCTAGACGTGTTGAGTAGGATTCATGGCCGCTGCTGGTTTGAGGGCTTCATATACAGCTAGAAGAGGGGTTCAGCTCACATGGGCTGGGGCAGTGTCCTAGCAAAGCCCAGTTTATGTACATGGGAGTGCATTGCAAGAACAGGGAAAGTGCCATTGCCCGTCCTTGATGTTATGAAACATCCTCTAGATTCTGGTCATCATGCCAATAAACACAACACTAGTGTTACGGTCCTGTTGTATGTGGCCATTGCACAAATTTGACCTTATTACCTTTAAAACATAAAGGTAATAAAGTCAATGGTATAAGAATACTGTCACCTCCTATAAGCAGTATCTCTGTTTAGACTGAGAAGTGATTTCAGTTACATAACATTAACTAAGCGTGAAGTAAAATATATTTGAGTAACTGCCTTGGTTACAGTATTTAACAGGTGTAGGTCTGAGAAATGTTTCTAATGTGTTTTGATTTTCCTTCATTATCTGTCTGTGGTCCACACTTTCCCTGCTACACAGGAGACAATTTATATTTGCAGTGCTTAAAAAGAGATGAAGAATGTTTGATTATGATACCTCTCATTTAGGTACAGTACATACTGTACACATATTCTCTTTCCAAAACACGTGTGTATATTTATATCCATGCTCTGTGTATGTGTATACTGTATATTGTAAATACACTGAGAATCATTATAAATGTAACAAATGCTATTCCAGAGTTTTGTCAGCTCTTGTCTGTATACAACTGAACCTTTCACCCCAGCCCTAATTTTATAAAAGTGGGAATTTCAGGATTTGACCAGAACTCAAACTATATCTCCAGACGGCCAGCTTTTGCTTTTGACATAAATATATACACAGAAAGTATGTTACAGTACACATAAACATCCATGCCCACCATGAAATCCATACTTCACACGGTCTTTGCATGCTTACCACTTGTTATAGGATCAATTGTCTGCCTGAGACTTGCGCCGAGCTCTTTTAAGATGCACAAGGAAGAGGCCAACCTGCTTTGTGCTACCAACAAAATTACACCCCATGGAAAACGCCAGCGATCTCACGCTTCCAAACCAGAGCCGACCGCTGGCACTGATGCAAGTGCTGAGAACCTCGCACAGTGCAGATAACATTTGCCCTGAGTTTCAGTTTGATAAAAAGGCATTAAGATGTTTTCTCCAGCATTAGTGCTTTGCCCAGTGATCAAAATCTCAGCCATGACTTTGTAAGAAAAGAACAGAGCTGCACAAGACTAATTTATAATAATATCAATCTGGTTCATTTTAATGACTTTCATTCTTTAATCCAATGTGAAGTTTTTAAAAGTCATTTAGTTCATTCTACTGAAGATATTATAATATATTATCTGACTTGAATGTCTTTCGCTGCAGCTCAAATTAGTAACCTTAACTCTTTTAACTTTGAAAATGAAAGTGAGTTCTCATACAGGGGACTGTGTTTTCTCTACGTTTTCAGCGCAGAGCTGCAGTATATGAAGTAAAATGGCAGACCCTACAGTGGTATTGATGGCACTGATCCAATAACCTGTCTTCTTCCTCTTTGTTTGTTTGTTTTTCAGGTTTTTTAAGCACTGGTGACCAAGCAGCAAAGGGAAACTATGGGCTCCTTGATCAAATTCAAGCCTTGCGCTGGACGAGCGAGAACATTGCTTTCTTTGGTGGTGACCCATTACGCATAACTGTTTTTGGATCTGGGGCTGGTGCCTCTTGTGTCAATCTCTTGACTTTGTCCCATTATTCTGAAGGTAACCGTTGGAGCAATTCAACCAAAGGTATAATGCAGGTTGCACATTTTGACAATTTTGGTGTCTGCATGCCACAGCCATTAGTATTTAATTTGACTCTAGTGTTGATTTGAAAACAGGAAGGAGCAGTTTGTTTTGGAAAGCTGTTTGAGATTTTTTTTTTCTTCCTTATTTTTCTGAACTGTTTGCATGATCACACTTTTTAGTGGCACACTCTCCTTTTTCTCTCTCCAGCAGATCTTTCTAGAAATAACTTAGAGTGGAATTCTGAACCGCACCGATAAACTGTATTTTTCCTTCAGCTCTTCATTTCTTTATTTTCAGGACAAAAGGCTGATGATAGGTCAAAAAGGCTGAGAATAAGGGTTTAACATCATACAGATAGGTCTCCCAGACCAAGCAGGATTTCAATTTATGCCCTGTGTATAAAACAGCTGTGAATTATATGTTCAACGCTGTTGTGAACGAAAACATTTGAAGTTCAGCATGTCTGGTTCAGAAATCTTTTGTCTAAAAACTGCATGGAAGTTGCTTGCTGTCAGCTAAGAAAATAAATTTGAGTGTTTTGCATGCACGATCCAAAATTGTCAAAGCATCAAGGTCACGAGCAAATTTCTTCAATTTATTACCCCTCTGTGTCGGTGTCCGTTTTTTCTGTTTTTGTCACTCTTCAGTAGAATTGCTCAGGGCCACAGGGCAGCTGTAATGGCACAGTGGGAACACTCGGACTGTGGTGAAGCCATGTGTGTTTAACACCACAGTGCTTTCATGACACCTCTCCTGAGCTTACAGTCGCTGAAGTTTGGGATTAGCTGAAATTAAAGAGAAAACAGTCTTTTGCCCAATTTATTTCTTTTTGCTTTTTCTAGTTAACAGATTCATACTTAAATAATTTGAAAGTCTCACAGAAACATGTTTATGCATACAGTAATCCACAAGTAAACAAGTAAACGTTTTTTGCTTTATATTTTCTTTAAAAAAAAGGCAAAACTAAAACACTACATTGTAAGGAAAAACAGAAGATTAATTTGCTCTAATATTATCTTCCCATTTTACAGTACATGTAAAAGGTACAGCTCCAACACTATAGTAGGTAGTTTATAATACATATACACTTTGTATAGATGTGGGACCTCTTGCTCATTGATGTATCTATTGTGCAATTTTCACGGCCCATTTTGACCATTCAGGGGCAAAGATCAATGGTTTTGCAGTTAAAGTGAAATAGTAGCTTCAGAAAATACTAGATCTAGCAAAGAATTCTCTGTCTTTTCTGTTTTTCTGTTCAATTCTTCAAGACATCATAAGACTACAAATAACATTTTTTTAAAAAAGGAGAGTTACATTTAAAATAAATAACTTTTCTGACCAGGCCCAGTAGAATGTTTTATTCCATTTTCTTGGTGCTGACAGCTGCTTGCAAAACCAGAGCCATCTGGAAACGAGAGATCTGTAGCTGGCAGGACGCAAATAAAACCCACTCCTGGGTGAAAGAGCAGGGCATGTTCTTATACAGTATGTTGTGAGTTTGAATAGACAGAGAGAGATGTATACTGTACTCTACTTTTCATGTTCAGAATAAACTCCATAACTGTGTTTCTGAAACTCTTTCCCCTTTACTTGCCTTCTGTACAATACGTTGTCCAGTTAACACTTCATTTATCACTTGACCAAAAGGCTTTGGAAATCAACCACTGTGCTGTACAGTATGTACAACGTGCACACTGACAAAGCTGAAACTTTTACAGAACTGTTAAAATATGTCCATTGTTCATGACATTTGTTATGGTGGTTTTGCACAGTGCAGTGAAACAGAAGGGATAATATAGTTAAAGAAAATTAAGAAGTTACTCTGTTACACTCTTACCCCAAGCTCCCCTCCCCACCCACACACACCCACATGAAAGGTGAATATAATCATTAGTCGTGTCAGTGATAGCAAGCTTGGAAGAGGTCCCATGGGTTGTCATGGCGATATCAGTGATAATCTCTCAAATCTCAGAATCATCTCTTCCCTTCCTCTATCTCCACCCTCCTCTCTGTCTGCACGGTCACATGGGACTCCCCTTGTCCAGCTCCTGTGCATTGTCACTGTGTCTCACCATTTCGCCATTTTCAGAAGCCACTGACTTTTTTGTTCTTTTTATGTTTTCATGAATTCCTCTCCAGAGAATAAAAATAAATAAAATTAAATTAATTAATTCTGAATTGTTTTGATAACTTGTTGCTAAATTGGGGTTCTGAATGTGATCATTAACATTAACTTTAATACCCTTTTGATTCAGACTGATTCTCCAGTTTTTGTAGCCTGTGAAAATATTCTATAGCCCGTTACTTTGAAAGTAATTGGTGGTTTCTAAGCAATTAAAACTTGGGACATGCACAGTTTAGTTACTTGCTGAAAACCTGTGATTTAGGAATACGTATTACCTTATCATACATCTATTTATAAATAGATACATCTGTCTTATTACTTTGCTACTCAATAAAGAAAATCAAAGTAAAATTTAAGCCCAACAACATCTTTGTTTATATTCCCCATTTCCATTAAGTCCTGAGGTCCCATCACCGCATGACCATGATGGACAGTGTTCCCCCACCAGCCCACCTCATTGTCTGGACTTGAACACGACACAAAGGGCTCTGCATGCTGCTTCAGACATGTTTTTCTGCTTGTTTCCCGGCTGCAGGACTTTTCCAGCGGGCGATTGCGCAGAGTGGCACGGCTCTCTCCAGCTGGGCGGTCAGTTTCCAGCCGGCCAAGTATGCCCGCATGCTGGCCAGGAAGGTGGGCTGCAACCTGCAGGACACAGTGGAGCTGGTGGAGTGCCTCCAGAAGAAGCACTACAAGGAACTGGTGGACCAGGACATCCAGCCAGCCAGATACCACATAGCCTTCGGGCCGGTGATCGACGGGGACGTGATCCCCGATGACCCCCAGATCCTGATGGAACAGGGGGAGTTCCTCAACTACGACATCATGCTGGGGGTCAACCAGGGCGAGGGGTTAAAGTTCGTGGAGCTCATAGTGGACAACGAGAATGGGGTGCAGGCCAACGATTTCGACTACGCCGTCTCTAGCTTCGTCGACGACTTGTACGGCTACCCGGAGGGGAAGGACATTCTGAGGGAGACCATCAAGTTCATGTACACGGACTGGGCCGACAGGCACAACCCCGAAACCAGGAGGAAGACCCTGCTGGCCTTATTCACCGACCACCAGTGGGTGGCGCCAGCGGTGGCCACTGCGGACCTCCACTCCAGCTTTGGGTCTCCTACCTACTTCTACGCCTTCTACCACCATTGCCAGACGGAGCAGGTGCCCGCCTGGGCAGACGCCTCCCACGGGGACGAGATCCCCTACGTGTTCGGGCTGCCCATGATCGGCCCGACAGAGCTCTTCCCCTGCAACTTCTCCAAGAACGACGTCATGCTGAGTGCGGTGGTGATGACCTACTGGACTAACTTCGCCAAGACCGGGTAAGTAGCCAGCCAGCCTATTTGACTGACCTCACCTCACCGTATCTGTTCCAATACGTTTGCTGAAAGGTGTAAAATGGGTATCAAGTAAGCAGTTTCTTTGTGCTACTTTCACTGATGCAATTAAAGCAGACAGTTATAATTACCCTTAATGTGGGTTATCTAATGTGGATGCAAATGGATTGTTTTTAAGATATTTAAATGAGTCAAAACCAAGGATGAACAATGGATTTAAAACGCTGCATATACTGTGCATAAAAACAGTTTGTGTCTGTAGCAAGTTGCTTTTTTTTCTAATGTAATGTGAAATGTGTGTCATGTTTGCACTTTACTGTGACGTTAAGATCTTTTTTCCTGTCTTGCAACACCATGCCTGTGTGGACAGCTCTTTATTATACAAGGAAGGGGTAAAATTGCTCTTTTACTTTCCCAGAAAAGGTAATCCCGAAGGGGCACTATTCACACAGGTGTCATATCAAGTGGCTTTATAACCAGTAAGGGTGACTTGATGATGCTGTCAGACTGTGGTGAAAGTGATTAAAGTATTCTATCTTCTCCCCTAATTCTATGTACAGTACTCTTCAAAATGACAAAAACAACAGAGGGATATCTGGTAATGGAAAGAAGGTTGTTAGGTTTTGCTTGTTAGACACGTTTTGCTAACATAAAACCTCTTTTATCTCCTCTCAGCGATCCCAACCAGCCAGTTCCTCAGGACACAAAGTTCATTCACACCAAGCCCAACCGATTTGAAGAGGTTGCCTGGACCAGGTATAGCCAGAAAGACCAGCTGTACCTCCACATCGGCCTGAAGCCCCGAGTGAAGGAGCACTACAGAGCCAACAAGGTCAACCTTTGGCTGGAGCTCGTCCCCCACCTGCACAGCCTGAACGAGGTCACCCAGATCATTTCCACAACCACCAAGGTCCCACCTCCCGAGGTGACACCCCGGACCTCCAACAAGATCCCCGTCATCACCAAGCGGCCCGTGACCACCCCTTTCCCCACGGAGAACCAGGAGAGCCAGAACCAGGAGACGGGTCCGTTTCTGGAGGACCAGCGGGATTACTCCACGGAGCTGAGCGTCACCATCGCAGTGGGGGCCTCCCTGCTCTTCCTAAACATCTTGGCCTTCGCCGCCCTGTACTACAAGAAGGACAAGAGGAAGCACGACGTGCACCGGAGGTGCAGCCCGCAGCGCAACACCGCCAACGACCTGGCCCACACGCAGGAGGAGGAGATCATGTCCCTGCAGATGAAGCACACAGACCTCGACCATGAATGTGACTCCATGCATGCCCACGAGGTGGTTCTGAGAACTGCCTGCCCCCCAGACTACACGCTGGCCATGAGACGGTCGCCGGACGATATTCCGCTAATGACCCCCAACACCATCACCATGATCCCCAACACCATACCGGGGCTCCAGCCCCTGCACTCCTTTAATACCTTCAGTGGTGGCCAGAACAGCACCCTGCCTCACCCCCACCCCCACTCACACTCCACCACCAGGGTATAGCCAGGGAACAATTCATGAGACAAAAAAAAAACGATTCAAAAAACTTTTCCTCCTCCTCCTGAGTAGTCGTCACGGTGAGTCTGGTACTGCTGAGGCTGAAAGGGAAAATGTAATTTTTTTGTAAAAAAAAGCAAACAAAGAAACTGAAGGATACGTTTTGTTTTTCTGGTATCTTGACAAACCGAACTCAGCTTTCCCAGAGCTGGTTCACACTTGAGTGGTCTCGGCGCGGTTGTTCCGATGCAGTCGTCCGAGGGGGGAATCTCAAATTCTGCAGAAGGGAAGGAGAAAAAGAAGAGGGGCGGAGTTCCTCGACCGAAGGAAAAGGGAAATGTCCCACTGGCGGCTTTGAAGCGCAAACGACTCATTTCTGAAGACAAGAGGAGCCGCCACGCCCAGAACTTGGGCATATGTTAACGCCTGCAAGGGAAGGATTTCAAGCACGGGAAAAAGACAACCGTTTCACAAATATTATGCACAAGGGAGACATTCGAGAGATGTCTTGGATTCTTTTCATCCGTTTATTTTTTTGGAACAGTTTTATTGTATAGAACCTATTTACATATCTAGATATGTAGACAAAGCACCAATGCTGTTAATGCCCTGATGGGCACCGATTCTGCGATCTGCCAGTGGAAGAAAAGGGGATAATGGCACTCTGGCAGATACAGCTTCATCACATAAGTGCTGTCTATACCAAGAGCTGGCGGACAGGGGACCTGGATATTTTTAGCACGATTGCGCATGACAATTTATCTGCTTGGTGGCTGTTCTGCTGATTAAGTTGTAATTAAAATAATTTTCATCCCCATTGGAATTTGTTTGAAGACGTACTTCTCTGACGGGCTGTGGCCCATGGAGTAATGCGCAAGAGCAGGGACAGGGGTCCGGGCTGGGAGGAGGGGGGCAGGAACTACAGTAATTACAGTACGTACACAATAGCTACAGTGAACATGGTTAAAAAAGACTAGTTTTGTACAATGTGTGTTGGTACAACTTTTTAATAGTGGTGAAGACTCGCTGTTATAAATCCCAAATGAGGGAATCTTTCATTTATCTCTCTTTTGTCAGTGTTATCTGCAATTTTCCATCCTTGGTTTTCTGATCCCCTTTTTAGCCTGTCACCACCATCACCATGATCACAGAGAAGTCATTTCCTCCGGAGTTTCTGTCCTTTTATACAGCAGATATTTTGTTTATGCAGGAAATCAATAAACATGCCACTTGAGTATTTGATTGGTTGCAATAAATTCTCATAAGGCATGTTCCCTAACATCTAAATTAAGATTCGTGTTTCTGTTTTTTTTAATATACTGTAACAGAAGGGTTACAGCACAGACACCACAAACTGGAAAATTGTTCCTAACCTATAGCTAGAATTTCAGACTGAAGTCCTAGGACCAGCTATAGGAAGGTAATGGCTGGTCTCGCAGCAGATGTCTGTGGATATTTGTGTGGTGCAGAGTCAGTTCCCTTTACTAGTCCAGCTGTCATAGGATTCCCAGAGTTCTCACACAAAGTAAAAATGCTAATATTCCCTTTTCCTGGTTAACCTCTCTTAACATGCGTGTGAGCATGAAAACTCATATTGCGCGACTTCTTTTCCACTTGATGACAGAACCAGCTCCTTAATGACTAAATTATTAATTAGCAGGATTAAAATAGTAATTAGCCTCGCTGGTTTTATAAAAGTACAGCAATGGATTGCATTATCAGGGTTGCAGGTTGAGTCTGAGTGACCCTGCAATAGGTTTGTTTTGTGCCCATGCATACAGTATACAGGATGCAGTACTTAGACTTTAGTTTTTACTTTCCGTAAAGTCTGTGTGCTGAAAACGCATTGCCAGAAGTCCCATCTCCCTGGACCCAGGCCATTCAAGGTCATCCCTGTGTCCTGCACACCTGTGTGACAGCTCTGTCTGCTCTGCCCTTGTGCTATCAGAGTGCTGCTTCACTCTGCCAGATGGTGTTGTGAGCATGACGAACGGCAACGTGTCCTCTAGACATAACAAACCATAGCCATGGTTGGAGGAAAAATCATTATTTTTTTTGTATCTACTTACAGATATCTTAAGCTTATTTACCAAAGTGTAGATGATTTTATATAACCTTGGTCTAACTCAGAGGTCCCACTGTCATGAAGATCTGGTTTTCCAGGGGTGGTGCAGGACACAGACTGCAGCCAGTTCAAGCAGAATGTAGTAGTTAAGATGGGGAGCTGCATCAGCGTGCGTAGGCTGCAAAGGAACGAGTAATACAGTAGGTTTATTCCATGCGGAAAAGAGAAGGAAGAAAATGCAACGTTCCGGCCGTGGAGCCGAAAGAAGGCAGAAGGAACCAAAAGGCTGAATGAATGCTGAAAGCCGAAAGAACACCTGAAGAAGGGTCCATGGCCGAAACGTTGTTTTCTTTCTTCTCTTTTCAGCATGGAATAAACCTATTACTTGTTCCCAAGCAGGATGTAGCCATGATGCTGGGATGGACGCCCCGGTTCTTGCTAAAAGATCAAGTGGACCTCAAGTGTTGGGGGTCCCAGTCTAACTTCGCATACGAAAGCATGTTGTGCAGCGTATAACCCCGTCGTCACTGTACCGGCTTTTATATTCAGCCCCAAAGGGAGGAGCTTCACGCTGGCCCACCAATACCAACACAGGCCAAAGGAGTGCATATCTCCTGCATGTTTCCGCCTCTTGGAGGCCCATCGAAGTTCCTCCCAGTAACCCTTCCTTGTCAGCGGCAAGTGGGGGGAAATTAAACCTCCCCCTGCTGGGCTGTAGGACCAGGAAGCTTCAGAATTTAAAGTGGGCGCGTTCTGCTGCAGGGATAAAAGCACACGTGGTTCAGATCTGCAGTGACCTTGAATGCCCCGCAGAACTGTTAACATCAAAGCTCTTTCGCTTTTCTGCTGGTCATACAGTACATGTGTGTGTGGGCTGATGAAGCTCTAACGCAGGAAGAAAAATGAGCTTTTCAGGGAGTGTCTAAATGTGAATATTTAACTTCTGATTCCTGTGTGGATTTGAAAGCAGTAGTCCAGCAGCCACTTGTGGTAGTACAGTATTTATTAGATACTGATGAAATGTACAGTAGGTTATTTAGAATGGTTTCACTTATCGGACACATTGTAAATGTTCTTTACAGCACAAGAAAAATCCCGTCTGCCCCTGGACAGGCCAGGGTCAATCCTGTCACAGCGTAGTACTTATAACTGCAGAACAAGACACCTGCTGACAAATGATCAGGGATCGCTGGAACAACTAATGAATATTATGAACATATTCTACATCTGTCCCAAAGCATTTCCCGTGCTGCTTCTTTTTTAATTAATAAAGGAATTAATATGCAGAATGACTGTAATGTTCCTTCTTAACTGTAGTGCCCAGAATAGCATTAGGAGATAGAAGATGTTCAGCAGGGGCAGCTGTGCGCTATAGTGTTACAGTACAGGTCAGACTGCTCCCTGGTCGTTAAGGTGGTCGACCAGATGTGTTGCTAGGAGCTTACCTGGACAGGGTTAAAAAAAGTCAGCGGAATACATTGTGAAGAAGTGTAATGCAAAGTGCCATTTCTTTTTAACAGGCATCATTATTTGTTGTCTGTTTCATACAGGACCCATACATTATACTGGTCAGAACCTCTCTACATCAGATCGTTGCTCAGCAAGTGGTATCTTAGCCATTTGTTGCTGTAGTTAAACAGCATGCAAGCTAATTCAGCAGGGTCCACTGATGAGGGTCTGATGAGCCTGAATCTGGCCTCCATAGAAAAGTGCTTCTCTTGCTCTTTAATTCAGAATACTGGCATTCCGTCTGGTGACAATTTTGATTTCATTTAGTGTTTATCTGCAAAGAAAGGTGCTCACACATTGTGCTCAATTTTACTTGGTTATCTTTTAGAGAAGTGAGCTGCGTATTTTGTCTCTGATGTGGCATTTTGTACATTTTGTTAGATCCCTTCTAATCTGGTAGCACTGCAGTTATAGTACGTGTCCCACAGATAACAACCAGCAAGAAACAACAAAGGAAGAAATCTAAATAAGCAGAATTTTGCAGGTTTTGGATGTGTTTTTCTAGTAGGAAAAGGAGAACTCGCATGTTTAAAACTACTTTTTTAATTTCAGCATTCAAACTGATTTGTAATATGCAGGTTGAAGGTCTTGTAGAATTATAGTTATTCTACATACAATCAATAAAAAATAAGGTATTTTTGAAAGGCTTAAAATGTTCAAAAATGCATTATAATTAAAAATCAACAACAATTCCATTCTTAAAAGAGTACAAGATTAATGCATTAGGCAGTCCTTTCAATACGTTCACGTTTAGAACAAATTGCCAGTCCTGTGGTTCCTAATGGACTCCCATGCTGTTGGTCTAATTCTGTGTTGTTGGCATAGGAGAATAATATGATCATTGGCTATTGCCAGATGAGAAATGGCAAAATCAAACTTCTCATTCTTGTTTGTAATCCACAGCTTCATGTGTTCAGTCGCGAGAGTCGGAAAGAAATGGCACAGTAGTCTTCGGGGCATTTCAGCTGCTGGGAGAGAGGAGGTTAAAACGATGCTGCCAGACTGCCTCTCTGACAGCTTTAGACAGGATGACCCTTAGATTTCATTTCTCAGTCAGGGCAGGCCAACCTTGTTTGTCAAGGACACTATCCTGCAAGCTATACAGAGATCTGAAATAAATGGTAATTTTGACCCATTTCATTCTGTAGCTGAGCCACTGAGTTTATCAAATGCTGGGGCTAAACAAAGCCCAGAAGACTCTCCTAGACCGCAGCAGGCCATGTGAGAATTCTGCCACGGCCCCGCGAATTTGTCTTCTCCCTCGCGCCACTGGTCCGGGGAGCAGAACAACAGTGTTAAAGAGATGGAGGAAGCAAGCATGTGAACTAGGAAAATATTTATTGGGAACAAATGTAACATTATTGCCAAGCCAATCTCTCACTTCTAGCAGGCCCGATGAGAATGAATACAAAACAATCCCTGCCGTTCTTTGAGCATTTATTTAAATGCCAGTTGGTGCAATTTCTGTGAATTTTCTGTGAATAATGTTTTACAGCCTACTAATATAGTATTAATGGTATCCCATCATTTTTGCTGCTGCATTTTATAGGGTATCATACAACGTGCCAAATTTAAACAGAATGTTAATGTCGACAGCATAAAACTGGGTAGACAGCTATGGTCTTTAGAGCTGTAATAAAAGGCCTTTGTTCCACACAAATACACCGTCAACAAAAACACAAGTTTCTGAAATTGAGTTTTTAGGCTCAGGCTTCTTTTAGCCAGCCTGTGGTCATTCATACTGCTTGATTCTCTTCAGCTTTAAGAATATCTGTAAGGATAAAATGCAAACTGTTTGCATTTTAATACAGCTTTGAAGACTGTACATTTGAAAAGAAGGAGAAGAGTTTAATTCTGTTTTTTTATTTAGCTAAACCACGCAACTTGGAATTACACTGGCTTTCATGTGTTTTGACAGATATTGATGCTTGTAAAATGTTCTACTTCTGTGCTACAGTATTTGTTTAAGGTAATTAGCATTTTTAATTTTCCAGTACCATATTGCTCTCTCTCTATTTTTTTATTTTTATTGTTCTACTGTAAGCAACTTACATTATTTTATTTTACTTGGTCAAAATGTGTTCCAAAATAATTGGATTAGTCTGCACCTCACTGCTGTGCTTTTGTTAGTCTTCAGGGTTTGTAATGAGAAAATCTGTAAATCATCATTTCCTTCTTTTCATATGGTTTCTTTTTTCCACAAAATTACAGTACATATCACATATATTTCACGACCTACTGTATAATTGTGTATGCTAGGTCATACTGTATGTTAGATATTTCGGAAACAATTCGGGCTGTTTTTTATTGGCAGTAAAGCCAGATTTAATGTTTTTGCAGGACTTCCTGCTTGACATTTTGCTAAGACCCTTCAGGGCATCGTGTCCACAAGCTGCTCTGTGGTGGCGCTCCAATTCTCAGTCAGTTTCGTTTGCGCTTCTGTCTTTGAAGATCACTGCTGTTACCTAACACTTTTATTTGTGATTGCCAGCAGCTGATTCACAAGATTTAAGTCAGGGGGCTAGACAAGCCATGTGGAAAAGGAATCCAGCTTCCTTGCAGACCTTTCCCAGCTAGGCTGTGTAGGAATTGCACTGCAGAAGGAGGGACATGTGGAAGGCATTCGTGACGAGGCACACAGGTGTCGTCTGGGGTGTTTGTGGCTGTGCTGGGGTTCCCCCTCACAAAGTGGCAGTGCAGTGTCTGTTTTTTCCCCTTCCTGACACCACCTCAAGGAACTGGGATCGGTCCACGAGGAAGTCTGATATAATCCCAGTTAAATTGCTTGAGGGGTGAATATACTGTATTGCTGTTCCTCTGCCGAAAAAACGTCCTAATTGCTTTCATCTGACCAAACCTTTGCGAGATTCTCAATAGTGACAGTTTTATACTTGATTAGACATTCAGACACATTTCCTCCCTGAATCATGGTTTATGTCAAAACCTTTTCAGCCACTGCTGTACATGTATATGACTATGGAATTTGGGCCTTTTTAGGTTAGTCTGAACTGCACATGTGGAGTATACAGTGTTTTTGCAGTTGTGTTTTGGGAGGGCAGGGCCTGTAAAACTATCTTTTTTGTTTTATTTAATTATTTGGGGGCATTTTCATGTGCTTGCTGAGGAATGTTACAGTAAATGCACATATCATTCACTGCTTCAACAAAAAAGGTCTTGAAATGCATCCATTCATACCACCACATGTAGACTTTATCCCAGAAAAGGCCTAAGCAATAAACAGAGCCAATGGAAGTCATAGAAAAGAGACTTCTTTTCTTGTGCTATTAAATTATTCCTAACAGAATTATGTTCTATTGACACTATTGACACTGTGGCCAAGGTTATTTGTATATATCATATAAAATATGGTCCAATGTCACAAAAGTTGACCATAAACTGTGCATCCTACATACTGTATGATGCCTTGGAGTTTTGTGTTTGACCCATCTGGAAACTCTAAAGAGAATTCTTGAATTTATAAGGGATTGTTATGTTTTTTCCTACATAAAATTCCCTAAATCTAATATAGAGAAAGGAAAAGCCATCCCCATCAGAACTCTGATCTGATGACTCTAATCCCACTCTGGCACAGTGATTCCAAGTCTGAACAAGACTGATTATTGAAAACTCTGAAAGGGTCTGTGCGGTGGCACAATGATTTCTAATGTTTCAAGGGCCCCAATGCTCATGTCTGTCCAGGATGTGAACAGCTGGCAACTTGCCTGACCAACCACAGTGCTTGCTTCAGTTTCCAGAGTGACAGCTGGATTATATAACTGCAAATTGAGTGACTTCTCTTAGATCACATTGACTGAAATCCACCCGGTAGCATGTTGCGCATATTGTTGAGTTTTCTACCAGCTGGTGATAAATTTAAATAGTTCCAAAGACAGATGACTTTAGATTTACAGACATGGTGTTAGTTTAGTGTTGAAGCTGTACGAGAAAGGAACACAGTGAGTTTCTGACTGAGGGCTCAGTGGTTACTGTCAGAGGCCTGTTGACATCCTGTTTGATAATAGTCTGCTGTATCCCATTACACTGAGTTTTGAAACATCAAACACTTTATTTTCTAGAAACTAGTCGTCATTTACAAAAAAAATGTTTGATCTATGTGCTTTCTTTATCCCCAAGATATTTTTGCAAGCATATGTTCTAGCCTTAAATAATTGCTGTGTATTTAAGCTATGTTTTATGAATACAAATGGGTGAATTACATTGTTTTATATAGTGTAGCTTCATATTTTGTGAAACTAATAGAACGTCCTGTCCATATCCAAAGCCATTTGATCTCAGACACAAATATAAAATATAAAAACACAAGAACTCATGTGCCGGGCTCAAGTCTTAGCATGTTTCTGACATAAATCAGAAAAAAAATATTTAAATGAACAGTAAAGAGCTAGTTACCTGTTTTGGTCTGAACAGTTGATTACTAATAAAAGCTCAGCAGAAAATTGTTTAAAACACAAGAGATGCTTTCCCCCTTTTAAAGGGAGTCAGAATGTGAATATAGTTTCATAACAAGTACAGTAAGTATTCCTAGAGTTTGGAAAAGTTGTCTGCTGGCTATATTTTAAACATTGTTATTGTTATTTTGTTTTCTGCTTATTTTCTCTATCATTTTGAAATGAAAGACAGAACAACCCTCATTTTCTTTCTGTGTAAGGACTGTTTTGCCTTCAGTGACTCAGTTTGTGTTTGGACATCCACTTTCATGAGAGTTTTTAATATCATTAATAAATATGATCATATTTTTTAACTTGCTTTGGCTGCTGTCTTTACTCTTTTCGGAAGTCAAGACCCCTGCAGGCTCTCCACACTGTGATGAAACCTGGATTCCTACAGATGTGGATGAGGCTCTCCCAGGCAGGCTGGTGTCCATGTTCCTGGAGATACTCTGTCTTTAAAACGGTGTTCTATTAATGTACTCAGTCGCTTGGTTTTTCTTAGTAGGACAGCAGTTCTTTTAGGGTAAAGGTTTTTATTCAATGCAATTTTTTTAATAAGACACAAATTAAATACTTATTTTCTCGACTGAAAAGCAATCTTTTTTTTCCATTTGCCATTATAAGACAGCGTTCTTTCTCACATCCAATAACTGAATGCAAACAGTTACCAAAGGTAAAATGAAATACTGATGCTCAGGTGCAGCAATTAAAACAATGAGGGGATCCTGCTCTTCCAGCAGAAATCCCTGTTCAGTGCAGCATAAAGGATCGTGTCCCTTTGGACAAAGCCAGATTCTCCTGGGGAGACCTGAGCAGCTCAGAGGCCTTGTAAAATCCACACCTTCATGTTACCACTGCCATTACTGAAGTTCATTAGCGATGCACTTACAGTACTATAAAGATGAAATATATAGTGATTTTAAATACAGTTGTGGAAAAAACAATAGATACAGAAACGATTCCGTGCAAATGCAGTAAAAAAGAGTTTTTAGTGACATGCAGGGAAATGTGTGTTTCTGGTGAGTTTGACAGTCCATCGAGGTACGTAAAGTAGATGGCTTTAGCTATCCTTGGGAACGACCCCTGTGTGTGTGAGTGGACTTCCTTTAAAACATGTTGGATGCTTTTGTTCACTCAGCATTTCAGACGAGAGGTTTCTGAAACAGGAGAGTCCCAGACCCTCAGCTTTCACATCCGTCTTCAATCAGCAGCTCAAGGTCAAGTTTGATGTCAGACCTGCAAACCCTATAGCTCTCCAGGACCATACTATAACAGGACTGTCACTGTTACTAAGACTCACTGTAAAAATCAAGATATCTTGTACTGTACTAAAAGTAATATAAAATCTGCTTAAATGGATCAGAAATGTCCCTCCGTTGTTAGAATAGGCGCAGAAAAAAATAATTTCTGTTTTTAATAGTAATTCCATCATTAAGATAAAAGTGTAAAGCTATTTTGGTGATGAAATTACTATACAATTAACCTGTCCAATTTATGATACAAAAATATTATTTTTCCATATTTACTTTTCATGGTATTATAGTAGTAACAAGATTAACAAAAAATAATGATGGGATTTACAACATTAATTTGCCATGACAAATGGACTTTTGGATATTTTTATATTTAATTCTTATTTAACATTCATATTAATCAAAAACTTTAGGGTTTACAGAATTCATAAGCATCCTTTCAAAAAGAATAATAGTAGTGATTACTTTCCACATGCAATTTCTATTTACATTTTAAGAGCTTGTCAAGATAATGGATATTTCTGTTGAGGAGTTGTGCGTTTTGGAGTAAAGAAGACAACTGTACGTGCAGCTCCAAAGCAATATCAGACTGCGAGGGCACCTCCCGAGTGCAACTCTTATTAACAGGCACAGCTTGTGTGCTGAGACTCGGGAAGAATCCCAAATGCGAGTTGAAATGTGGTAAATTAATCCCCGCACCTGGATTTTACTGTCATTCTAATCTGAAGAACTGCAACTAATCTTTGACTCGCCAGGGATCTCCGACTTGGGACCTGACTCCTTGACTCTTCCCGGCTCACCTTTCTGGCCTGGCTGTTGTTCCTCTTAGCCACATATCAGCCTCGGACCCCTCAAGCAGTAAACCAGGGTGAAGCCCAGAGCCACTGCACACGAAATAAATCTCAGCTCTATGGCTGAGGGTTCTTCTGCCACTGTGGTCCTGCGACACCCTGGGAAGGACAGGCCGAGGGCTCTCAGCCCGTGATCAAGGCCCTGAGGTGGGAAAATTGTTTCAATTGGCGGGGACCGCTAAGCAGTCACTTACTATCAAGTCCACATACGTATATTCTTCTGTATTATTTACAAGGCCACAGATTACCACAAACGGGTAATACATCAGCAGACAGACTTCATTCTCTCCTTTTCTTTATGAGAAGAGAATCGGACAGGACGGGCCGCCACACATCGTCCACATTAATGACAAGACCATTGGGCTGCAAACAAGCAATACGCACTCTCAGTCTGTTTATAAAGAGTGCCCTTCTTATTATATTAGTTGTAAGCTTGATCAGGCGGTAGTAAAATGCCCATCTTTATTTCTACTTCATTCAGTGTTGGCAGTGTACTGTAAGTACAGCACTTATTCATGTACTGTTTACTTTTACAGAAAATCTATTTAAAGGGCAAGGACAAGCGAGGTCTCTTGTTAAACAACTGACACAGGAAGTATTGACACCTAGCCAAGCTGGAGCATGCACTCTAAATAATAACAGGAAGGCTGATCCCATACAGAGCATGCATCAAATGCAAGCATCATCGCGTACTGGAAGGGCCTAATGTTTTCCATTAACCGAGGTAACATGGCCCTGCTAAAGAAACAGAGAAAAATCCATCAGAAGATGTCATAATTTATAACTTGAAAGGAAGAAGCACACTGCTGCGGTAGCTCAGAAGATGAAGGTTTATCTCTCATCCATTTGGTGTAACCTGCAGAGATAAAGCACAAAGGTGGCGCAGGATAAAAGAGGATTAATCCTGCTGTGCTGGACGTGTTTATGGAGGTGTCCGGCTTGACTAAGTGCTGTTTTACAGCGCTGGAGATTGCACTACAGCAGCTACTTGAGGAAAAGGCTGTCCAGGTGGCCTGCCAGCAAGATTCATGGGGACCGGACGGAAACTTCCAAGTAAACTTCACTAAAGAACACAACATTTTGCGGTTACTTCACCAGACTTAACCACCTGAACAGTCACACATGCATCCATTTTCTAACCGCTTCATCAAATACAGGGTAGCAGGGGGGCTGGAGTCTGTCCCAGCAAGGCTGGGATGTCAGTGAGTCACAGGCCACATGCAGGCACACCAAACCAGTTTTTACCAGAAACCTATTAACTTCCCAGTATGTCTTTCAAGTGTGGGAAGAAACCAGAGCTCCTGGAGAAAATCCATGCACATAACACCACAGGTGTGGAATTGAACCCAGGAACCCAGGGCCCCAGCGCTGCGATACAGCACCACTGTGTCGCCCCTATATTTGTGTACATGGAAAGTGGATTTCAAAACCCAGATTTTCTCATATTGCTATGACAGCAGGCAAAGCAGATGTCTTGTGATGGAAAACCTGCTCACAGGCAAAAAGGTCACAGGCACATTCTTTCTTGTGCATTCCAGAGGTGACAGAAACCAATTAAACCATTCATTCGGGGGTCACGTACCGTACCTGTTTTCTGGAGTTTTTAAAGCTTCATTCACCTTTGCAGCATAACCACTCAGGGAGTCAGGTTGCTGACTGTCTCATCGAGGGAATGAACTCAGTTCAATCGATAAGTGGTCAACAGCTGTTTGCACGAACATGACAGAAATATATCTCTCTGGAAGACAAATACAAATACATCCCTCAGTATGATACAGACTGGCGTTCAGGGAGGGTCATTTTGGAGGGATGTTCATTCTGCAGTTACCTTCTTTTTTTTGTTGAAAACAGATAACGTTTCTCTGCATTGTGTGAGATATTGCTCTGTTTCTTTGATAGCATCCTCAAGTTCTCAAGCTGCCCACTGTCTCCACTATTTCTACCCCCTGATTCTGTCAGTAAAACCCCACATTGCCTACTCAAAGCAATATCTCACAGCATGGACTGATGTGCAGTGTCTCCCAGTCCCTGCCTCCTCTATTATCTATTTTTGAAGCCTTTGGTACTCTATCAGAGAGAGAAACAAATTGATCCAAGACGGCATTACTACCTTTAAATCTTTGCAGTGGAGAAAAACAAATTACCTCTGAGCCACTGGTTAAACATTTAGATGTCTTGATATTGAGAGATACACCTCCCAACATGCTATCGCACTAAAGAATTTTAATAAACTTACTAAACAGGTGGAGGTGAACTGGAACAGATGGACACATTTCCCAGATTCTCCATAATTCCCCTTGTCTGCATAATAAAATACGAATGTGCTCTCTTGCTTGATTTTTTTTTACTTCTGTGATTCATCTGTCTCTTCCTTCAGGGTACCTGGGCAGGGTGCATACTCACACTTCCAGACTCAAATGGCAAGGGATGTAACTCTGTATTAAACTCTCCATTTGGCACCATTAGGTGAAAGATCCGTGAAAGGTTTAGCTCTGGCAAGCTTTAAATTTGATTTTTATGCCTTGGTCTTGCGAACACTGCCCATTTATTGTACTCCTGGCACTCATGTATCTTTGTGTGCACTTAAAGAAACTCTGGTCTCTCCATACATTCATTTATTCTAGTCCTCCCCTCAGGCATTGTAGAAACACTCACAGAGCCATGGAAAGCATGACAGCTCTGCTCTCCTGTTTTACTTTACTACAGGGTTTGTGGGGAGTCCACAGCCTATCCCAGCAAGCAATGGGTGGAAGGTGTAAGGAGGACACGTCCTGGACAGGACGTCAGTCCATCGCACACAGAAACACACACACACAGACAGAGACAAACACACGGAGACACACACACACACACACACACCCACACGTACACAGAAACAAACAGAGACACGTACACGCACACGCAAGCACACAAGCAAGCACACACACACACACACACACACACACACACACACACACACACACACACACACACACACACACACCAGGGGCAAGTTAACATTTATTCCTTTAGTTGGTTTGGTTGTTAATTATTGTTTGAGTGACACTTTTACCAAAAGGCAAGTTCCATCTGTGTCCAGCTGGGCACCTTACTGAAGCAGACTGAGTGGACAGGAGCGGCTCCAGAGCCTGTCAAGAGCCCTGGCCACTCCTCCACCCTGCAGGAAAACATGTTGCCTTTGGGCTGGGAGTCTCTGACTGTACTGGATGCTG